AGGGATGTATGCTGTCATCCGCGCGGAATTCACACTTTGAGCGATCGACGGCATCGTTTCTGGCCACTGACTCAGGCGTGAGGTGTTCAAACACCCAATGTGGTACGCGGTTACGGCGATCATAGGATAGCACAAAATCTGAATAAGAACGAACATGATCCAGCCCAGGGAAACCATATTTCATGATTTGTGAAATGCGCGTTGGTGTGGCATTGAGATTGACTTCTTCTGTTGGCACTGGTACTGCAGCCGACACTGTGCCAAAAATTGGCAATGCGGGGCGGCGCTCCAACTGCGAAAGCGGATATAAGAGAAGATATTAAGGCTACACGGAAATGTATCCCATTAATTCAACGTTAAATGAAGCCACTTATGTACCTGCTGCACTAAAGGTGGCGTTTTTATTCCCCACTCTGTTTCAGGCACTTGTTGACGTTCAACGTATTTACCGGTAAAGTAGGCGCAAGTGGCCGCGGTTGCGCATACTAGAACATTTTTAAGTAGCCTTTTATTCATTTTCGGTGCTATTATTTATGCTAAGAAAAGCTTTCAATTGTTTATTGAGCGATGCTATAATCAAAATTGATCACCCCCATGTGAATTAGCCCTCTTGCAGTCTGGCCAGCTGATTTTTGTTATCCAATCAGATACAGCTGTGCGTGCACAGTGCAACAAATTGGACTATATTGGACTGTGAGTATAATTTCTCCGCATAAAAAATATAAATTAAAACTAAATAGAAAAAAATAAAAAATAAAATAAAATAAAATAAAATAAAACGAAATGGAATGAAACGAAATGAAAAGAAATAAAAAGAAATAGAATGAAACAAAATAAAATAAAATGAAATGGAATAAAATGAAATTAATTAAATGACACGACAGTCGGGTCTACGTAACCGGAACGACCCAGATTTATATCTGGCCAAGGACTATCACTCCAGCAACACTCCACAAAAAGTCTTTGGGGAATTTGTATGCTGCTACAACAACAACAACAACAACAACAGGAGGATGAAGTCCACGTAAGTGGGAAGAACTTTTGACTGTCATTCACCTAGGAGTGGCCAGAAGCNAAATGAAATTAATTAAATGACACGACAGTCGGGTCTACGTAACCGGAACGACCCAGATTTATATCTGGCCAAGGACTATCACTCCAGCAACACTCCCCAAAAAGTCTTTGGGGAATTTGTATGCTGCTACAACAACAACAACAACAACAACAGGAGGATGAAGTCCACGTAAGTGGGAAGAACTTTTGACTGTCATTCACCTAGGAGTGGCCAGAAGCTATTCTTGTGTGTACGGTTCAAATCGTAGCTCACAACGTCCGGATATTTATATCCACGTATCCTCTGGGTAACGACCAAACACCCGTTAGGGAGCGAGCTAGAGTGAGAAGGCGTAAAAGTTCGCGTGCGCTGGTTTTGGGTCCCGCCACGTTAAAACCCCGCCCAATGAAAACGAACAAACAGTCTCGGATGATACCCTCTTTTTCTAATGACGACCACGGCGAACGTATAAAGGACTATGCAACTTGAATATCCGTACCCTTAATGGGGAAGGTGCCTCTACCCGGCTGGTTGATGTCCTCGGGAAGACAAAGGCTGGCATCACCGCCATCCAAGAAAGGCGATGGGCGGGGAAAGGCAAGGTAAGCGCGAAGCCTTGCGGAGTCTACTACAGTTGCCACGTAAAGGAGCGCAAATTCGGTGTTGGATTCGTGGTAGGAGAGAGACTCCGTCGCCGAGTACTGGCGTTCACGCCGGTGGACGAACGTCTAGCCACAATCCGCATCAAAGCGATATTCTTCAACATCTCGCTCATTTGCGCCCATGCCCCGACGGAAGAGAAGGGCGAGGTGTCCAAGGATCTCTCTCAGAGCACTCTTCAACAAACCGACACACTCGAGCAGTGGAACTACATTTCCCGTTCATTAAGTATTGCCGCCGAAGAAGTAATAAAATTAAAAGAACCGAAATGAAATAAAATGAATTAAAATGAAAAAATTAAATTAAATTAAGTAAAAAGAAATAAAGTAAAAAATTAAATAAATTAAATAAGTAAAAAATTAAAGTAACGTGAAATAAAATTATATAAAATATACTATACTAAAGTAAATTGAAATGAAATGACAAAATTAAATTAAGTAAAAACTTAATATATAAGTCAGTAAAATTAAATAAGTAAATTGAAATGAGAAAAAATAAAGTGAATCAAAAAATAAAGTGAAATTGAAATGAAATGAAAAAATTTATTGAAGCGGAATTAAAAAACAAGACAAAAACAATAAAATGGAATAAGTCGAAATGAAATAAATTGAAGTGGAATGAAATTAATTCAATTGAAATAAAATGAAATGAGGTGAATTAAATGAATAAAATATAAAAAAGGAGAAATAGATACAAAATTATATTGAGAATTAAACGCGGAAACGAAATTTTTAAATACCAGAAAAAGAAAATCCTCTACAGAATCCGTTAAAATTAAATGAAAGGTAAATTTGCTAAGTCCAAAAGGGGTACAAGAGATGGGATAAGGTGAAAAGATTCGAACTCTTGTAATCAACATCGAATGCTTTTGAATTGTACCGTGTTTTGATTTGATTTAAACATGCAAACTATTGTATTCAAAGTTTCGCAAAACACTTGACAAGAATCTCTTTCAAAAGTTTATTCTTCTCCTTTAAAGTTTTGAAAAATCGACTTAGCCACTTTTCACTCTAAGCTGGCGATATATTTAATTGTTCTTCTACTTTTGATACTCTTGTTTTTTGCAAAATTATTAAATAATGCCTTCAATTATGCTTATCTGACTAATTAAGGAGTGTGGACACATCGAAAGTTCACCTTTTTTCAGATAAGAATTAAAAAAAAATTTAATTTAATTACCTTTTATTTCGCATTAATTAAACATAAAACTACATTGGAAGCGATACGTTATTGAAAAATTTTAAGCTTATAATTACTAATAATACATTTTACATCTAGTTGATTGCCTAATGTTAGACCTAGTTGCTGTAGTAAACTTGCACAATTTCCATTTACATGCATGTATGTGTGAAGTTACATACAGACATATAAACATATGTATATATAAATTAGTTCGAATTTTTCGATTTGAGTAGGATTACATTACGGTATTTCAAAATCTCCAAATCTCTGAGAAAATCACATTTTTTTTTTTGTTATTTCTTACACCTTTTTTGTCAATTGATTTTAACGATATAAACTAACGGTTGTTATAAGCTACCTCAACTAATTAAAAATTTATGTGTGTTGCTGCATATTTTATGTAGACAAATTGGCGCGACGCTAGCATGACTCCTTGTTGCAATCGACAAAATTGCTGAACTCTGTTGAATTTGGCGGTCCCTCGCTGTAGAGATATGTAACAGGCCAGAGACGCGCGGCCGTAAAATCATTCAAACTCTGTAGACCACCAGGGCGTGGCGGTCGTTGATAGTCCTTATTCGAACTATTGTTGCCGCTTGAAGATTTCTTTTTTTCGCTTTTGAGTGTTGAAAATTTGATGCTGGCGTGTGTGTGTGGAATGGGCGTTGTTGCTGTTTTATTACCAGGAAAATAGCGATCGCTACATTTGCGCCACTGATCGGCTTCATCGCCCACAAAGCACCTGAAGAGGAGAAAGAGAAAAAAAATATGATGACAAAATAACTAACAGGGTTGCTTGTTTCAGTAATCTCATACCACGGATAATCGAACCCCTGCGAGTAGCCACAGGGGTGTTCAGCCTTGCAGCAATAGTCCCATGAACCTATTTCGCCACCTTCGATCTCACACGAATAGAAGCCAGTTAGAAGATTCTTTTCACATGGACTCGTTGGGCGACAGGCCTTACCGGCAACGGTGTAGTGACGCCAAGCGACATCGCCTAGAGTTTTTAAGTTAAAGAACATTGTTGTTTTTTTGTTTTTGTTTTAAAAAATGTCAATACTTTGTGATTTAAGTGCTTTTTTTTGTTAGAGAACCAATACCAGTTAATATCACCATTGTTTATGCTGGAAAGCTGGTAGTAAACTAGTAGTTTGGTTTGTTTCGCCATAAAAGTAAACTTAAAATTTTGAGGTCAATAAGGTTACATAAATACATAGCTGGATGGGGCTTTATGAGCATTATTCTAAAGTCGATTTTTTTCGTTATTTACATACAAAACTTTGCATTGGATGTTTACGAGTATCTATTTTACAAGGATATTATTTTACAAGGATAACTATTAGGGTAGTAAAATACAGGTATCAACTGGAGTTGAAAGACATTATTACATGCTAAGCTTGTAGTCATTTAAATTTAGCATTACTCCACCAAAATTATACCATTCATGAAATAGGAAGTTGCTAGACTTTACACTCTTAATTCTATGTTTTTTTTGTGTTTTTGTTTTTGTTATACGAGTACAATTGAGGTTTGTTTCATTATTCGTTTCATACAACTGCAACTAGTTGTTATTTACACTAGTACTGTGGTGCAACAGGTTAGAAGTTTGAGTTTACCCGGTTCACGGAATATGTCCATGCGGCGATCGTTGTTGACACGCGATCCGCCTATTGTGTTCACCTTATCGCGACAAGTCCAATCGAAGGGGTTCCAAGCGAAGAGCCAATAATCTCGTTCGTCCGTATGCGTGTAGTGGACATTCAATTTGAGTTCCGTTTGATCGAGATCCGAAAGCTCACAATTGTAGGATGTGGCGCGAGAGCTGTGAGTGAAAAGTATAATGCATATGTGAAGAAGTTTAGAGCTAACCATATCCTATGGTAAACGAAATCTTAATTGTAATCGATATTGCAAACGTAAACTTAGGCTTAATCTTGACCTTAATCCTAAACTTATTCTTGACATAAGCTTCATCTTAATATTAATATTAACTTAAACTTATTTTTAATCGTTACCTTAAAATCAAATGTTGTGTAATCTTAATACGCCGCGTGCTTCACTGTGCTTTGAAAGTACTTTGATGTTCTTTGAAACCCGTAATAATATTTCATTTATTTTTATCAATTTTTGAATAAAAAATTCAAACAGGTGGCAACCCTCTAAAATATTTTCGGCAGTAAACTTTCCTAAACCTCTTCAGTGTATTACCTATATTGTAATATGCAACTTATTTTATCCATTGAATTAAATTAAAATATTCCAACAGGTGGCAACCTTCCGTAAAAATATTTTCAGCTATAAATATTCTTAAACAAACAGGCAATTAGCCAGACAGACAAAAATTCTACAAAATGTTGATTTGGCTTCTCTTGCTCTATCTTGCCAACTCTAAATTTATTTTAGACACATGGTTTCTTCAGAAAATTTGTTTAGAATTACACGTAGAACCCTTCGTTTTTAACCGAAAAAGTCTCCCATAAAAATTAACCCGCCCTAATGTATAGATTTTAATCCCAAGCTTTATCTTGACCTTAATATTAATGTGAACCTTAATCATAATTCTAATCGTAATCTTAATCATATTCGTAATCGTAATATTAATCTACCTGCATGTACCTTAAAATCCAAAGTGAAAAATTTGTCAAATAATCTTACCCATAACTGAAGGAGTAGCACTTAAATGATGTGGTTTCCCGAAAACGTATACACTCCTTTTTACACGCTAGTTCTGAGGGTACTGAGATGACTTTCTTAATAGCTGTTGAGAGCAGTTTCGCCGGCGAACCATAGCCCAAATAACAAACAGCTGTAATTACAAAAAAAAATTATCAAAAGTTAGAGCACTAAAATGATTTCCCCTTTCAAAAGCTTAAACATTTGTACAAACATTTCTTATGTTTCTCATCAACGATCGGTTGTATTTCACAACCATGTCCATAACTCGCACGCTCGAACACATCAAAGGCTGCATCCTGTATGAGATGACGCTGTTTGTCCATATCTCTCACTGGCCAATCGCTCAGCTGGCAATTATCAATAACGCTCGCATGACGCTGTTGACCGTACCGGTAAGCGAAGGCGCGACAGGTGAATTTGTTCGATTTAATACATTCCATTTCACATTCGCCAACCGAGCGAACCGTCAACGAATCGCGTACGATGGACTTGTAGAAGCGCGTTGCGTCAATGGCACGGAAGAAGCACTCTGCAAGGATAGAATTGTAGATGCCTAAATGCTGAAAAGTGGAACAAAAGTAACTCCAAACACTCACGTGCATTGCGCGGATCAGCAAGCGCAGTTCCCGGCCCCGTGCCGTAATGTCCCGGATCGTCGCTGCGTGATGGTTTTCTGCAAACATCTAAGTCATCGGACATTGAGTAGATATCGTAATCTCGATCTGGTTCAATGTCTACATAGTAATCCAAAGAGTTGATCGGGCGATCGCAGAGCATACAGTTATCACGCCCCGCTTGGTTGTAACGATAGCTGTAGGTGTGACAGGTGAAGCCATCCTGACCGGAGCACAAGCGTTCGCACTCAACAAGCGTGGGTGCCGTAGTAGAATGTTTTATGGCGGTTTTGTGTAATCGAAAGCCCTCGCCTATCTTTGCCGAGCATTCTAAGAATTGAAGGAAATAAATTAACTGAAGTATTAACGCATTTTTACAATTTTACACACCATCTGGGCCCGGCCGTCTTGTCCACGAGTGCCTATAATCATGTCGATCTCGAAAACCGTCCGCACCATATCCGCCATAACTTGAACCAGGGTAACTTAGCACTGAGTTTGGTTCTCGTGCTGGTCCACGCTTTGAGCCACCCAATTCAAAATAATTGAAGTCGAGCGGATCTCTACGCCGATTGTATTCATTTAAACCCCAGTAGGATGATTGCTTACTATAGCTGCCACCATAACTACCACCGTATCTGCCCCAGTCTTTCTCTTGCCCAATGAGGTAGGGCACAAACTTTGACGATCCCTTGTAACTGCCGGCTGGTGGTCCATCACGGTCTAAATAATTGTGAGTAGATGGTGGTGGTGGCGGCGGCGGCGGCGGACCTGCCCGATAAGAGTCTGGTGGTCCGGAAGGTCCACTCAATTCATGTGAGCTCGGTCGATATGGCGAGTAATCGGGACCTGGTCTATAAGGTGGGCGAAAGCGATCACTTTCAGGTGCAGGACGATAGTGTGCGCTATCGTATCCAGGACTGCTGGGTATCGACTCCCAACGATCGGGTCTGCTAGGTCGATAACGGTGATATTCTTCCGGGCGGTGATGATCCTCCGGGCGTATTAAGTCATAGCGATCGATGGGTCCTGAACCTGTACCACTGCTGCCGTAGCCACTAGGTGGCGTGTGCTCAAAATAAGATGAGCCATGCGAAGAAAACTCCAAAGAGCTGGAGTGATGGTACTCGGAAGATGATGGCGGCGGCGGTAGCGGTGGACGATGATCATACGAAACAGACGACAAGGGCGGTGGTGGTGGTCCTGATGGATGATAGTGATCAATGGCAGTACTGCTTGGTGGGCGATAATGATGTTCATCGCTACCATAGTCGCTAGCGCTGGGCGGCGATGGCAAATAGTGATGCTCCTGGCGATATGGTGGCTTGTCAGACCAACCGCCTGGCTTAAAATACAAAGGTGGACTACTTAGAGTGCCACCTTTTGAGCATTCACGACACGCCGACCGCCTGCAACTGGGCGGTGCATTGCGATCGCGTTCATAGTAATCGTAGTCGGGATGTCTGAGGAGATTCGAGTCACGCTGGCCAGAACTCGAGTACAAATCGATTTGCGCCAGTGGAATGTCGATGAGCTCACAATCGCCCCGACCATGACCGGATGGATCGAGACGGTAGTTGAAACCTTCACACATAAAACGTTTCTCAATGCCACACTGACGCATGCAATCCTCAATGCGCTCGCAGGCAAATGTGCGTCTGACCCAGCGTGGAGAGATGCGCTTGCCAGCCAACACGCGCCGGAAACAGGCTGCAAAGTGAGAATAGTTGAGAGGTGTACATATGTATGTATATAATTATGTAAATATATCTAAAAACATACGATTTTTAAGTAGTTGCTGTGGGGAGAGGAGGATGGAGGTGAGCGCTTTTGCTTTTTGATGCTGCTGGAAATGGCGTTTGCATAAGGGGCGTTCCATACCGAAACGGACGGCGTACACACATTCAAATTCTCTATTGAAAGAAATATTTAAAATTTTTTTTCTTTAAAAATTCTTCGCATACAAATTTTTTTGATAAAAAAAGTTAGTTTTTGAAAATATGCCATCTCAAAAAAAAGGAAAAAAATCACAATGGTAGCTCAGTATTGCGCAATGTTTAAGTATAGTATGTACTATGGGGTCCACTCTAAAATAATTTGAGTTATGATTTTTTTTTTTTAAACCGAAGTTGAGTATAATGAGTACATTACAAATTTTAAAATTTTTCTTAGAATTTTTTTGAGTACGCAGTCTTAAATTTTAAGCTACTGCAAAATTGCTTTGATTTTTTATATTTTTTATGCTGACGGCTTTTTGCAATTTTTTCTTATGGGGGAAAATGCGCAAAACCGATTTCAAAGAAAAAAAATAAATAAATAACGTCAGTTTTGCAATCGCTTAAAACTTGCCCTTACTAAACTTAATGGGTTACAAAACTGCATACTCAAAAAAAATATAGAAAAAATTTAAAAAATTTGTAAATTTGTAATGTACTCATTTTACTCAACTTCGGTGTAAAAAAAATCATAGCTCAAATTATTGTAGGGTGCATCATACTATACTTAAATATTGCGCAATACTCGGAGCTACCATTGTGATTTTTTTTTTTATTATGTGGTTTCATATTTTCAAAAACTAATTTGTTTATCATAAAATTTTTTTTTTAATTTTTCAAGCAAAATTTCATAGAGAATTTTGATGTGTGTATATGTGTTTTTTTTTTAATTTTTACCTCGCCCCGTATGTATTAATCAAGCTCAAATTTCATATTTATTTATTATTGATGTACGTTTATGCATCAAACCTAAAAATTTGAAACAAATCACACACCTGAAGTGTGAACCCCGTCTGTTTTGATATGGAACGCCCCATATACATACATAAATACGAGTACCATGCGGTGAGTCAATGAAGTCAGAAGCGTAACGCGAAGGTCACATAGCTAATAGCCGAAGAATAGAAGTATGTAGCACATACAAATGCATACCAACAACAACAACAAGAGCATCAAGGGGCGGAGTTTTTCGATGTTAAGCCGCAACAATTTGCACAGAGTTTACACTTAAACGCATTGAATTATTTCCTTCTTTAAATCTCTGATTTTGGCTTTTGCGGATGTATGTACTCCACAAGCGAAATGCTATTTTTATAATAACCAAAAACTTTTCTCGTGCTATAATAAAAAAAAAAACGATGTATGCTAAAAAAGAGCATAATTTGCATTGCTTCAGTAGCCCGCGGATGTGCCTTGTAAAACGCCTGCTTGCCAGAAATATAACCACTTCAATTATTCTTATTCACTTTGGTACATCCGCTTCTTCTGCAAAGGCAATTGTTTCTGAATGTTTGCCCGCTTCAATGCGTCTACACCAACGCATGAATGTACATACGTATATGTATGTATGTATACCCATACGTATATTTATTTGTACATTAGCTATTGTTGTTCTACGGCATATGGCATTAGTGCGAAATATTTAGCTACTTATGTATGTTCTTCTTAAGTAGCCGGCGTAGAATTGTAAGAAATTATAAAAAATTACTCGCATCTCCACACGCATTTTTAAGGTCACTGCTTTTGCATTTGTTAGATTGCCCCATTATAAAGCAATTCAAAGTACAATGACCGTAGATTTTAAGCTTTCTGACCTCCCGAAATTGCGCCAAATTATTTTCTAATGCGTGATTGTTTAAATTGAAAGCCTTCCGCGAGGCAAAGAAAGTTTTTGAAATTTTTTGTAAATTATTTACGAAAGAAGATTTTTAGCTAAATTGCCAATGGGGTCAAAAATAGGCAGTGAAAATTGATATTATTAACATATTTTCGTGCGATTGTGATATTGTTTTGTGATTTCTAAAATGAAATTATCATATTTTTAATTATTGGGATGGATTACATTTTCCACAACTGTTTGTCAGTTTGGACCAATTTTAGTTTGCTTCAAAAAATTTCGTAATACATGTAAAGAAAAGTCTATATTTTCCATTTACATATACATGTATGTATGTACATATGTATTTAGTATGTACATAAATTGGCTCCAAAAACCTTAAAGCTGGGATCACATGATTTGCAAATTTGTAAAGATTTGTGCATTTTTGCAGACACAGAGTGGTGTTATGTAGAAATTTTTATCGAGAGCAAGGTCAGCTCGATACAAAATTTTCCAAACAACCCCACTCTTTAACTGTCAAAATTTACAAATGTACAATTGTACAAACCGTGTGTTCGCAGCTTAAAAGTATTTTTTCACATAAAAATTTATTCCAAATAATTTCAAAGCTTCATATTTGTGGTAAACAGCTGGAAGTAAAGAAAAAAACACCATAATTTAAGCCGCGAATAATCAAGCTTAGGCTGCAAAAGTTTGGCAAATTTTTTTTAGTTTCACTTTTTTTCAACATATTTTGATTAAAAGAAAAATAGAAAGAAAAAATACTGATAAAAATAAAATTTTTCATAAAAACAGGGTTGAAGTCTTGGAATTCCTGCCCGTAGTTTGTTTGTAAGTCAAATATGAGTGGCATTGTTCTACTATGATAGCACGGCCGAATAATCATAGCCAACTTATGTACAGTAGTCGAAAAAATTATATCCGCACCAAATTTTGAGAAGTTTTAAAATATTATTTTTGTTGTTATATAATTTCGGTTAGTTTTTTATAGTTCGTTCTTTACCAACATCCGTATAAATACAAGTTTAATGGAAGTGTCACACGATTGGGTATTTGCTAAAATTTGGTGTAAATCGTATCCCAATTGTTTGAACACCCAAAATATTTTTCACTATCCCAATCACGAAAATTAATTTATTGAAATTTTTCAATAGAACATCGCTGTATTGTACCAATCTTTTGAATGAAAAAAAAAAAAATCCTACTTTTTTTACCAATAGCCCAATATAAAAATTTACAAATGTGTACAAATGTACCAATCGAGTCACATTGCCTTAAGAATTTATGCAATTAAAAAAAAAATCTAACAATTTTCTTGAAAATTTCGAGTTTTTCAATTAAATTCTGAGTATGCAGTTTCAAATGGCTAAAAATGTCGATTGATTTCTTAGAATTTTTAAAAGTTCGAAATTTGTACGAAGGTTGTTGAATTTTTTTTTTTAATTTTTGCACAAATGAATAGTCCACTTGCAAACAGCGTTATGTGATTTTATAATAGTGATCCATAAATTTAAAAAAAAAAACCGTCTACAACAACAAGTAACATCCAAATTGTATATTTCTCTTTACTATCTGAAAATTTGGATAAACAAAAGCCTAATAACATTAAAAAACAATATGGCAATGTGGTAGTTTTTGCAAATTTTATATATAAAAATTGAATATAGCGAGTTTTGAAACAGTAACTTTTACATAGCCATCTTTTTTTTTGCTTTTCGCGTTCGCTCTCCCATGAAGATTGGTCTGCTTCTTTTTTACGACGCCTTCCACTAGGCACCGAAACTACCACGTTTTCTTGCAGTTTTCTAAGTTCATCAGAAGATGGAGACTTTTGAAAGTGTATAAATAAGCCTTATAGCGACTTTTGCAATTGATGCTATTTTTTCAGAAAATAGAAAGATTTTGCACTGCATTGTTAGTGGACATGAAACTACTTTAAATACTGGTACGTCACTCACCAAAAACTAAAACTTAAAAAAAATTTACATAGCGCCTTTGCAAGTGGACTGCTCAAATTTAGAAACATGAATTTCCACGGATTTTGTTAAAGAACGAACTATATTACAACGCTTTTATCAACTTGCAATGTTGTGTGTCCAGAAAGCGTTGTATATTAAAAAGTTTTTTTTATATTATTTATTTTCTACTTTTTAGTCCTGTCTGAATAAAATTTTGCAATAGATATTAAAATAATTCAACGATATTAATAGAAAGGTGCACACACATGCATTTACATATGTATATATGTACATACAAACGAGCACCAATTAATTTTATTTAAAGAAATGGCGTGTCGTCTATTTCCGCTGTAGCAAACGTAGTACATAGGGCGACATCTAGATGTCATCTACCTCGCCCTATTCACTACAGATGTCGCCCTATGCACTATGCGGAACTTTTCAAAGCAAAGGTTTTATGGTGTCGGACACACAACATTGAAAGTTTCTGGATCCACAACATTGAAAG